TTTCAAATAGGAGCATACACAATCTCATCAACAAGGTCAGTGCTGTTTATCACATTGCCTTTTTTTTCTTTTCTCATCAATTTCTTACTGGTTTGCAAAATAAAGATATCGTCCAGCATTGCGTCACCTAATGGTAAATTTGTCTCTTTGATTGGTAAAATACAATATTCCTCAAGAATGCCCTCATTTAGTTTATTTGGTTTTTCTTTATCAGGCATTTTCCCCTGCTGAATTGCCATGCCTTTCATATTTGAATCTTCATGGAAACCCATTAGATGAAAATTCAGTTGGTGATCTGCTGGACCTACTTGGAGTATTCAGCAGCTTACAAGCCCTTGATGTATTTATGTTAATACTAGTTTTCTTTCACTTGAAAGCATGTAATTGTACTAATACAGGAAAGTGATAAAAACAGGTTGATATTCCAGGCCCACTTGGAGATAGTGCTGTAGAAATTCTCGAGTCCCTTCCTCAACTTTCTTTACTGAATGGTGTTGATGCAGCCAGAATATCGGAGTCTGAGAAATCTGTGATTGATTCAATGTTACAACCACGGCTTCCAGAGTGGACAGCTGGTGAACCCATTTCTGACCGTGTTATTAGTGCAATGTGGCTATTCTTAATGACATACAGACTTGCAGATGAGGAAAAAGTAGATGAAACTTCTGTATGGTATGGAACTTAAATATTCATGCTTGATAATTTGCTTTTGGTGCTTTGTATATTATCATTAGATATGCATGGAGAATGTATTTTTCGTCAATTTCTGGATATCAAATTTTCATTTGTCTTTAACTATCTTAAAACAAAATTTCACATCATTGCTGTGGAAATGTTTTCCACGATGCTTCTATTAGTGTCAGATTTTCCAGTTCAGAAGAGTCGTAGCAGTTACTGAATGTGCATGTTAGAGTCACAGGACAAGTAAAAACTCGTTAAGATGTGTGAGGATAGAGACTGAGAAACCTATTTCTTTCTTGACCCTCCTGCACGAAGAAGTGAAATACCTTCTCTATGGGACAGAAATTCTGATTCTTGGCTTTGAGTTTTGCTGTGGACTAATAGTTTATATCACTTTCCATGTTGAGTATAGTCTGTTCACTGAGACTCTCTGTTAAACCCATGGCCCAGCATCTTCTTTCTTTCTTTTTTTAATTCTTGCAGAAAAATTTTTATGGAAGTGTCAATTGGTACTATGCCTCTCTTTTTTTTTTTTTTTAAAAATCAAATTCTTTCAATATGGCATCCTGCTTAACTGGAAGCAGGATATTGAATATGTGAGTGGCACCGATTAAATAGATGCCTTAGTTTTTGAAAGTAATGAGAGGAATAAATGGCACAAATTGCTGTTTCTATATCTGCTTGTTTTCTTTATTAAGTATTGTAGTAACAATATTTTGGGTGTTCTTGTAGGTATGTGATGGATGAACTAGGTTCAGCTTTGTGGCATAGTGATGAACCAAATTTTAGTGTCTCTCCTTTTCTATACATGCCGGGGGGTGACCTAGCATCAGCTGTGAGGTTGTCTTAATACACAGGCTATCTCTTTTTTCCTCTTCTCCTTTTCTCCAAAGTTGCATAGGTCCCATTTGCGTGAAGCTAGGTATCTAACTTGGAACTCTAGCCAATTGAGCTTGGAATTTGCTTATCTGTTATGGTATTTCTGTTTAAATCAGTGTCTTTTCCTAGATGAGTCCATGCTTCCCTGCTGAAGGTTGGGACCTAGATTTGTCATTCCATTTCCTTGTGAAGTTTCTGACTTGAACAAAAATCACAGTTATTCAATTGTTTGGCCTATTGCGAACATAGAAAGAGGTGATGAGTGCACTCGTGATTTCCTTTTTGGCATTGGAGAGGAAAAGCAGCGGTCTGCTAGACTTACTGCATGGTTCCATACCCCTCAAAATTATTTTATCAGAGTATGTCCTTACGCCTTCCATTTCTTCTGTTTCTTTTTTGTCCTTGTGGTATACATCAGTACTTTTCAGGGAGGTTACTTTTAAGCAATCTTGTAGGAGTATGAGAAACAGAGGCTGAAATTGCAATCAAAGAAGTTTCATCCCCTGCCAGTTGTATCTTCTACAACAAAAGCATTGTACGGGAGTGATGGAACTGCCTTGCGCGTTTACACAGATATACCTCAAGTGGAGGAATTTTTGACCCGGCCTGAATTCATAATCAGTATGTTTTCGAGAGTAAAACTTTTAGTTCATGATTGTTCTGGTATTCTTCTTTTCTACCGGCAGTTTGTCCAGTATGCACTTTTTGTTACTCTTATTTACTCAAGTCTAGTGATTGCTTCTTGTGATTCTAACTCGTTGAGGCCACCAAAATTATGTAATATGTTAACCTATTTTGCCTTTTAAGTGGCTGCTTCTATTGTGGTATTTCTGAATTCAACTATTATTGCAGCATCTGAGCCAAAGGATGCAGATATTATATGGACAAGCATGCAGGTAGATGAGGAAATGAGGAAAGCTGTGGGCCTGAATGAGCAGCAGTTCATTAATCAATTTCCTTTTGAAGCTTGCCTTGTCATGAAACATCATTTAGCAGAAACTATTCAGAAGGTCACTGCATCTCTTTCTTTTAGCAAGACTAAAGGTGTCCAAGTCAAAATGTGTCTCCTTTTGCTAAATTCATCTCTATTTTTTAGCAGGCTCATGGATCTCCTGAATGGCTTCAGCCTACTTATAATCTTGAGACAGAGCTTACTCAACTCATTGGCGATTATTGCATCCGTGAAAGGGAAAGATTGAACAATTTATGGATATTAAAGCCATGGAATATGGCAAGAACGATTGATACTACTGTGACTGGAAATTTATCTGCAATTATCCGTCTGATGGAGACAGGTCCAAAAGTATGTCAGAAATATATTGAGCATCCTGCATTGCTCAATGGGAGGAAGTTTGATATTCGTTATATTGTTTTGGTGCGCAGCATGAATCCATTGGAAATTTTTCTTGCTGACACTTTCTGGGTATGGACACTATCTTTACTGGGTACCGCACTAATATAATTGTCATGACTCTCAAGAGAAAGTTGCTTTCTAGAAGTTTTCATGTCAAGTCTGTGGATGCTAGATACCTTGCTAAATTTATTTCTACGTTCATTTTTCAGGTTCGATTGGCAAACAACACTTATTCTCTGGACAAACATAGTCTTTTTGAGTACGAAACACACTTTACTGTTATGGTAAGTGGCTGAAAATTTTATGGTTTTTGGTTGCTTAACTGCCTGGTAAGGAGAAATTGCTAGATTAGATGGTTGTCACAACAAAATGCAGTTAGCAGTTTGCCAGAATGCAGATGCTGATTAATGTGAAGTTTGTTTAGGTAATATATGCATTTACAATTAGATTTCTTTTCATTGTTTCAGAATTACAGAGGAAGATTGAATCACATGAATACATCAGAGTTCGTTAAGGAGTTTGAGAAGGAGCATCATGGTACTTTAATCTTCCTATCTTCCAAGTATTTCACTTCCTCTAAGTGGGAGAGATTTCAAAGTTTTGTGGTTTTGGTCTATTTGTCGACTTTATTTCCTACACTTTCAGTTAACTGGATGGATATCCATTCACGAGTGTCAAGGATGATCAGATCCATTTTTGAATCAGCAGCAGCAGTTCATCCAGAAATGCAGAGTCCAACATCAAGGGCCATTTATGGGGTGGATGTCATGCTTGACCGCCATTTCCAACCTAAAATATTGGAGGTTGTGACTTATCTCATTTGGTCCAAGTTTATATATATATATACACACACACAGACGTGAAGTTCCGGAAAGAAACTTTCTACATACATTGTGGAATTGCGTGCATATAACATGATGTATCTGAAAAATTAGGCTATCTCAAATCTATCATTACATCGGCAAGCGAATTATTACGAATGCTGAACCTAATGATAGAATGAAGGTCCTGTGCTAAAACTATCATAAAAAAGCATTTGTATGAAACTCCCTGGCTTTTAAAAAGCTTGTAAAGATCTTTTAATTTTGCTTGAGTTGGACGTATTCAGAGGTTTCAAATATGTTTTGAATCTGCAGGCCTTTATACTTTGGCTCCTTCTACTATTACAGTATAAAATTGCTTCCCGTGCTTATCTTGTTATTACTGCATTAATGCAGGTGACGTACTGTCCTGACTGTACTAGGGCTTGCAAGTATGATACTGAACCTGTGATCAGGGCAGGAGGATTTGTTAAAGGCAGTGACTTTTTTAATTATGTGTTTGGCTGTCTTTTTCTAAATGAAACTGCTCATGTATCCCCATTGTAGTTGAGTTACGTGGAAAATTCTTGTGGTATATATACCACAGAGAAATGATGTCGTGCGTGTCTTCATCCTCTCTTTTTGCCCGCTCCTAAGAGGCTCTTTGCTGAACCTCATCATGCTGGAGTTCGCCAACAGAGATCTTGGTAGGTTATACAAATCTTGTACTTGAAAATAGTAATGTTTTAGCATTTATCTCACTTTTATGGTTTGTACGTCCAACTCTCCCCGTCTGTGTGTTGAAAGTATCCGGACAACAAAATTTTTACTTTAGATTTTAGTCTCTTATTGTAACTTTTTGGCATACCAGGATGGAAACATCTGCTGCTGCTGCCTTATAACCTCTTAGAATTTTATTTGCGCTGGAAGTCTGTCTCTGCTTTGTTCAGTTTTCAAATGCATTAGGCCAGATGCTCTAAAAACAACCGTTTCCGTACAAACGCATACCATGTACAAATTAAAACTTCGCAAAATCACAGATTTTCCCTTCTGCACTTACTCTGAAGAAGCAAGCACTGGAAATGTCAAAAATCTTCATCTTTTAGATGTGGGGGGGGGGGGGGGGGACTACGAATGATTAAAGACTGAAGACTGTTACAGGATCTGGACGGTCATTACAAAAAAAAAAAAAGGAAAACACGTACGCACTCCATTGTCCAGATAATAACGTTAACGCCAATGGTAATCTGTACATTGGGTCGTCAGCTCTTCTTGCTGCGCTCTCCTTTTTTTTTTTTTTTTTTTTTATCGACATTCAGTCATCATAGACTAGCTGAAAAAAGAAAACGATCGTATACAACATAGAGAATCAATGAATGAATTTGTTTCAGATATACCCTAATTGACAAGCCAGTTGTTAACTCGGTCCAGTTAATTCCCTCGATGTTTGGCTTTTCATTGTTGCCAACTTCTTTTGCAACTCCAAATTTGACAATCGCTCAACCTCCAATGCACGCTCAAGCTTTTAAATCCAGAAATACATGTTAGTACAAACCATTTTACGAACGGGACAAAACTAATTAGTCATCTTAACAAGAACCGTCGGGGAATTATACCTTAGCAGCTCGGGTACTCCATTCACCCAAAATGGCCCTCAGCCTTTCATTCTCCTCGATATACTGTGCAGCAAGGTCAAGTTGGTAATATTAGAATGCAAACATGCACTGCTTGGAGAGAACCAACACTTAAAACGACTCGTTAGAAAATTTTAGATTCATTTTGACTCTTCAATGCTTTTAACAGAAGGCCAAGGCCAACTCTCTCCCTCTGTCACAGCAGCAGACAAGTATATCACTCTTGACTGACGTAGAAAGAAAGCTATCTGCACCTTAATATTGATGAGACGAGATAGTCTCAAAATACAGGAACACAAAGTGACAAATTGATGACAAGGATGCTTAGAAGTAAAAACCTGATTATTTGTACTCTGGACGCGCTGGATTTCAGAGTCTCTCTCAGAAATGAGAGATCTAGCAAGACTAAGCTCAGATTGAAGTTGATTCATCTGAAACACAAGAACCATCTACTTCATGAGTAAAGCATGGGAAATACAAGGATTATATATCTGTTTAGAAGCATTCTTGATCATATTCCTGAATGTCACAATGTTTTGGATGGCAGTTGGATGCCAACTTTTTGGCCATATTGATCCTCATCATTTTACATGATTGAATAAGTTGAAAAGAGGGAACTGCTCTCCCGTTTGCAGTCCAGCATATATATGTTCAATCCTCTAAATGCTTAACAAAATCCACGAACTCGGAAAAAAAAAAAATCCATCTGGCCCATATGGGATCATAAGCAGTCCCCAAATTAAGTGTTCTACTGGGGGCTTATGAGTCCGAACTGAATCCATCAGGGTAAAATGTCAACCTTTCCACTGACTAAGAAGTTACTTAAAGTTCTGACTACGAAAAGTGCCTCTAAAAAGATCCGGCAAAAACAAAAGAGAAAGAAGAGGTAACCAAATTAAAGAAAGGGGGTTGTTGGGGGAGTGCGAGGAAGCAAGCAGCATGTACCTCAGCTGACACTGTGCGCAGTTCCTGGTCACGAGCTGCTAATAGATGAGCAAGATCAACCTGCAAAGCCGATATGAAATTATTCTACTACTTCCCAGAAAAATAACTCCGTCTCTTCTCTTCAGACCAAACAGAGAAGCTCCAATGTTCTTCAGTCAAACAAAGATTCATGATGCAAAAACGGCAATTACAAGCCACTTTATTACTTTTTTGGATACATCGGAACACTGAACACCCATGGTGACACTAAAATGCTTTTAAATCTTACTAAAGAATCTACAGCTTTTACCTAGGTGCACCCCTTCCTCCATTATCTCAGGTTTCTAAATTGTCTGCAATCATCTCTATCCTAATGTACATAAAGCTGATTCCCACATCTGCAAGCGACTACAATGGTTTAATTCTTCACTAACATATTGTTCATATGATGCATGAAAATTCCAGAATCATGATTAGTAAATGAGGTGTATTCTCCTAGCAATTTACAAAGCAATTAAGTAATCATTGACACCGTTCAGAAAATCTGTTTTTCCAATTTGAAACATTACCTGAGGTGTGCTCCCATCATCAGACCTTCGATATTTGCTCAAGCATTCTTGTAATCTGAGAATCTACAAAAGAAATAAAAAGTTTTAAACTAATTTACAAGGAGTTTCCATTTCAATTTGTCAAGCAAACAACCCCTGACCAGACTGAGTAATTGACCCAGCATTTTAAGACTGCTAGTAGATACTGCTCGAGCTACAAGCCTAAAGTTCAATCATGTAACGACCAAATGGAGAATTAGAACAACAGCCTGGAGACATTCTTTTGTACTCAGAGTCACCAAAAGCATCAATACCTTTGAAGAACCATCAAATACATCAAAATAATCACATACCTCCTCACTTAGAAAATGGATATTTTCTCGCTGATATTGCAGCAATGCCATTTGTTGATCAGAGAGCCTACCACCCTCGTGATACCTGTCACAACAAGGAGTTCTTACTATTGCATTCCACACTACAACATCCAGAACATACTTTTTAAGACAAAGAAAAGAAAAGAGACATCCTTATCAGTGTGCTATCCCAAGTACTGATTTTCAGAATACAAAATCTAAAAAAAAAAAAAAAAAAAAAAAAACAGATGTCCTTATCAGAGTGCATTAAAACCAACCCACGTCACAGTTGTACACATTTCAACTTAATTATCAAAACTCTCATCCTAGGAAAGTATTTCAAAAATGCCACTTTCAAACCACAATTGAGCCATCTCAGTTGAGCCCCAAAAAAATCCAAATCCAGGCAAGCTAATTGGCACAGAAGCAGCATTTGATTTCAATTGAGCACCAAAAATTACTCGCCCATTTTCTGCTTGGGTCTGGAAGCACAATAATGGCCTACTGTTTCAGTACTTTATCTCCATTTATCTGTGATCTTCCAGAGTATCGAATGAGATAAGAGCAATAATCATTCCCAAAATTAAATTGGGATAACAATCACGAAAGCATTTATCTAGATGCTGAGAACATCTTCATAAATGCAAGAATTCATGTAGAAGAGAAGATTGTCAGCACAAATACATCATGATGTCATGGATTTGTTACATAATACTTTGCCTTATAGGCCAGTTGAACATGAAAACTCCTGCTTTACAACAATATACATTCTAGTTTCATCAAGGTAATACAATAATGACAAATAGAAAGCAAACTTTGGATATGCATCTGTAGAAGAATGACCAAGAGGTGGTGAAAAAGAGTGTTGAAGTTTAAGCACACAAATAGACTTGGAACATCTAGTTTAGATAGATTGGTATCCAAAGTGGTCTAATATAACTCAAGCTCATGATTAGCAATTATCAGGAAGTTTCAAATGCCGGCAGTAACAGAACGGTTTCAAGAGAACTGCTGGCAAAAAGTGTAGCAGAGTCATCAGAAGTTCTCAAAATGCGCTATTATGTAGTACAACTTCTGGATAGGGGAGATACCGGGGGCAGTGGAAGGTTAATTTTATGGTAGTGAAAGCAATCACCTACACTGTGTGGTGACCTACCACATCAGCCTTAAGACATTACAGGAAAGAAAGTAAACTAGCTGAAAAATTGTTCAGAGGCTGAAGCAGTCCGACCATTGTAATATTGTTACCTTAACTCTTCCAGAGAGCTGGATGGTTGAAGTGGAGAATATAATGATTTCAAAACATCAGGTTGAGAATCCAATGCATTGTACTGGTGTACATAACCTGCAGCACCGAAATGTTTATTAAACACTGATGGCACAAGAACCATTGCGGAGCTACTTGTGCTGGCCATTGCAGCATTCATATTCCAAAACATTACAATGCTTACATATGACTAAAAATTGGAAGCCTGCAGAAAGAAAAATTATAACTGATAGCAAATCAACTATAGTTGAACCTTATATACTGGACTAGTTAGTGTAATGCTTGATAGGCAAAAGTAATAAAGTTTTAAGCAAGATGAAGTTGCTATTATATGATAGAATGCATGTCAGTGCAGTCATAAACAGGATCCTAACAAAAGCATCTCGATTTAATTGCCAAAAAAATGTGGAATTTTTAATGACTACATATAACAATTAGCCAGTCAAAACTCACCAATATAGACACTCATGAAGAACGCAGCACAAATTATCTCAGCTAGCATAATAATCCTGCACATTTAATGCTAAGTGATTAAATAGTCAGAAATGAACAGTTTCCCTTGGCAGCAATCATGGATTCCTAGATGCTACATATGCTTCTTGCATTTGGCAAAAGTAACTTTTCACATAAAAAAAAGTGCTTAACATATGCATGTTTGTTTCTTCCAGACAGATTGAAAAAAAAGAGTTTACATTAGTCCAGATGAACCTAGTGAACTTGAGTATGTATTCAAAGAACTAATAGCATACCTAAGTATTGTTGATATGGACAGAAAGCGTATATAAATTTCCCAGACATGGATAAGCAGCATAGCTGCAGTTCCTGCAGTGCATATATCATAGAGATATCTCATTGAAAGCCAAAAAGGTGCTGAGTACATTTCAGTATTTCTGTGAAGAATACGAGCAAGGTATTACAAGAGATAAATGGAGGAACATTCAAATAAAAGAAGGTTGATCATCATGCAGTAAACAAGGAACTTAAAGAAAAAGAATAATAATTGAAAATGAAAAAGAAAAAGTAGTAATTTAGTAGGATTTCCAGTAATATTTGGATGGAAGACTGGTCAAAAGGCAAAGATGACCTACTTAAGGACTAAAAAATGCTAGGTGCAGATTGAATTCTGAAAATGTCTTCAAACAAAAAGCAAAGAACGGCGTGCAAATGCGAGATAAACACTAGACTATATAGAATGGGACAAACTAATTTGATGTCAAAATGGAGTAAATATTTACTATGATTTCTTCATATTTAGAAATTCTTCAGGTTACAACATCATAGGGCATGAAAATGCAGATACAAACGTACCATATGCTATAACAGCAAAAGGTAGGCGAATAATGTGCTTCAACTTTTGGCTGAAAACGTAGTAACCCTACAAAACACATGCATGCCTTGAATCTAAGCTTCAAAAGCTACAAATTTTAAGCTGGGATAAAATAACAGCAACCAAGAGATCAAGAAAAATACTCATAAACTTGCTAAGTAAAATAACAGCACACATAAATTAGTTCAAGAACATAACTATTACGAACACATGTGCACTCAGAATGTCCTAATGTCCCCATGATTCCACCAATCTCCTCACATCTCGCCTTGTGTGTTGTCTTATACCTAATTCTTTAGTCAATTTATTAGTTTCTCTCTTAGCTTAGACTTCACAAATCCCAAAATTCAATCAAAACTTTGGCTTCCAAATTATTTATGCAGTTGACAATGATGGTTAAGGTTTCCTTCTGAAGTTCTACCTTTAGTTCAAAGAATTATTTACATCTTCCCAAAGTTGGAAGAAAAGAAACATACATACACAAAAGAAAACAAATTAGTACCAAGATGGACTTGAAATCAATTGATAAATAGAAAGGATTATACACATACATACCCCAAATGCATATGAACTCATGTTTATGTATGTGCTTCTGTGTGTGTATGTGTGTCTGTGCGTGTGAGTGTGTGTATGAGAGAGAGAGAGAGAACCTGTAACCGTATTTTCTGCACTTGATAGACAAGGTATTGCTGAAATAAACCTGGAAAACACAGTAACAATGATAAACTACAGATCAGGAAGTATTTGAAAAGAAAACTCAAAAAAACTGAGATGAATTATATGACATCTAAATCAAATGAAACTTGAAAGATGAAGCCTGCAAAAAGCAAAGTTAAAATCACCGCCAACTTCCAGGGCAGTTAAGTCATCACATCGAAGAATACATCAAAAAAGGGCAAGAAGACCAAGCATGTACCTGTGATTACCAAAAGAATGACATCAGAACTACAGAGCAAAGGTGAAATCAGTTCCGGTTGAGGGTGAAAAAACCATGTAGCTCCAGCAGCAAAAATAGCATAACCTGCCTAAAATTCAAGAAAATCAGCAGTTCTTGGTACAAACTGAAAATGTAGTAATCTAACTTAGTTGACTCCGAAGCAGATAATAGCTAGCACTTGCCAGCAAAATACAGTAGAATATACTCCCCAAAATGCTAGTAGGCTTCCGGTGACCAAATAAAGGAGCCTCATGCAGAATGTCAAGGAACCTATGGCAAAATGATTCGCAATAATCCATCACAAATACAGCCAAAACTTTAACATGATGCTTATACATGACAAAAGAAATGTAATCAAACGGAATGTACACTTCCTCCAGCATAGGAATAAATAAATAAAGAACGAACAGTCCAGTTTTATACAACAGCTTAAACAGTTAAGCAAATAAGCACGACACCAAAGAGTTAACTTGCTGCACTACTGCTTGGAGATGCTAAGAACAGAATTCTGATTTCCTCATGTTAATATATTAAATGCATGTTCATGAAGGTGGAAATTTTTTTATTGGAAACGTAAGAATTCTCGGACTCTTTTGAGCAATTTAAATCTGAAATTCCAGCAATTCTGAAGACCTTATTTGTGCAATGTTTTGTAAAACAAATGACTGAAATTGGGCAGCAGGAAACTAAGCCTAAGCACGGCTAAGCAAAGCAACAATCATTTTTGTTTATTCTAGATATCATTTGGTCCTCCTATCACTTCATTTAGCATCTGAGTTTGATTTAATTCTCGCATAATACGACCTAAACCTAAAATTACAGGACCATAAAGTTTCAAATTCACTTGCTTTGTACTTTATTAGGAGAGTACCAGCAGCAAAAACAATAAAACTTATAACAAAGAAAAAGGAAATAATCCTAGATTAATTATTCTCCCAAGATATTTATTTCTCAAAAAGAATCATTATGTAAACTATCTTAACTATTTAGCCAATGCATTGCATTCACGATTCACGAACCAATCCCCAGAAATTTGCTGACGAAATTCAGATGAATTCAAACAATCGACTGTAATAGAAACAAGTGTGCTTGTTTTTGTGCATGAGTGGGTGCGTATGGCGCTGGAGTGCAGGAGGAACCGGAATCTTACAGGTTGTTTTCTTCGGGAGATGCAGCGATGGTGGAAGATTGTCTGTCCGCTGCCATCGTTTTTTTTTCAGTTCTGCTTTTTGTCCTCCTGCTCCCAGAATTCGTCAGCTCATTTTCCGTTAATTAGCAACCTCGACGACTTCAATCCGCAGTACTAAATTTCTGCTACTTGGATCTCTGTACTCTGTATCTAACAAAACAAAGATGAGGTGACAAAGGTCGACTTACGAAGGAAGAGGTTCACTGGTCAATTTAATTTAAGTTGAAGGTAAATATTTGAAGGGAAAGATACGGATAATCTATTCTTTGGTTTGCAATCTTTATTTAAAAAAAAAAAAATTTGTTAGTGATTACGTATCCTAAACACCTTTTTTATCTAAGTCAAATAATTGTTACACATTTTTCTACAAAAAAAACTCCAAGTAAGCTTGCATAAATATAGATGTTGACAATGGACCACAAAAAAAAAATTTGTTTTTTTAAGAAATATATATTATCATTCACTTATGAAACTCTACAAATTTTTTCATATGTTTTTTAGAATTTTTTAAGCATACTACCCTAATGACGAACTAAATTAGGCTCTTTAATTTCTATTTTTTGTTGACATTTCACAGCTTCTTTTCGAGCTCGAGGGTGCAGAATTTATTCATAGCGTGAATTGGTCGCATTTCCTAGTGCTTAGTTTGAAAGCTTAGATTTGACAAGAAAAGAAAAGAAAGTGAGAGAAGATAATCTATATCTATATGTATTGAACGACGGGTTTTTTATGAAAAACCTCCAAATATTGTATCTTATACCTACATATCTTATTGTCATAACGTATTTTATTATTATAATCATTCACAAAATTGACAATTACTAACTCAATTTCATTTGTCATTCACACAAATCAAATACAGTGAAAAAAAAAGGCTACGTATCATACTCTCACCATAGACGAATCTCATCTACAAGCATTTCAATCAGTGACAGAGTCAGGATTTTTTGCTTGGGAGCCAAAATTTTTCCTAACAAAATTATCTTAATATGCTATGTTTAAAATAATTTTCATATATTTAAATATATGACATCTAAAATCTTCAAATATTAACTTTAATTCCAAAGGTATATAAAAAATAAATAACCTTCTTTTGAGGAAAAAAATTAATTCAATGGTGAAACGCTCATGATATAAATTAAAATTGTAAAAATTAATGGAGAAGGACCAATTTTATTTTACACATATATTTACGCACCATGAAATAAAATTTTTAAAATTTAGGGGGCCCCTAGCTTTGTCATTGATTTCAATAGCACCTCAATTCCAAATTTGCAAGATTGCAAAGGAGAAAATAACTGATCACAAAACAAAGTCTACATCGTAGTAATCTCCTAAAAATACTTCAAAAAGTTTAGCAAGTTCGCTTCCAAAAAAGACAAGTCTTACTGAATATTCTTTTATAGTGCGAATTCCACAAAATTCAACAAAGTCAATTAAACCACCAATTTTGACTTTTATACAAGATTATCAAATCGAATGCATAATATTTGAAAATATTTCATTTTGAAATAAAATAAAACATGTGATTACATTCATTTCTATTCATATATCATTCATTTTCTAACATAAATTTCTATTATTACTTCAAAATCCATCTTTCACAAAAACGCAATTCTTAAATGATGTACACATTTTATCATGCTTTGAACTATTACTAGGCAAATCTTAAATTTTAACTATGTTGGTACAATTTTTTTTTTTACTTTTTTTAATTCACCTTCTCTTTTAATTTCTTTCAATAATATCAGCACCGTGCGTAACATTGGTATTAACACTAGTTCTTATGAATCACTCTAACAGCTGTGGTTTAAAAAATTTTTCTGCCCATAAAATGAAAGAAAGTTGAAGCAAGCTTTATAAAATTTTATCCCTAAATGTCTATTAAACAGAATTTTATTAACATTTGCATCGAATGTCATTTCATTTATTTTCCTTTCTAAACTCCCAGACAACATCAAAACTTTTCTTTTTTCTTTCTCTTCTTTTCTTATAAATTAAGCTCTCTCTTCTATCCTTTTCTATCCTAAACTCCCATACTAGCTGTAAATTACGAGGATAAAGTAAAAGGGAATGACTGGTGTGCATACGGAAGGAGGAAAATGAGGGGTGAACAGCGGTGGCGTACTGGCGTCTGGTATAAAATGAGAGTGATGTTCAAGGATAGGAATTGGGTGGTTCTTGCAATATCAGGCTTAACAGGAGTAATCACTACCCTGTCATTCGGCCGCAACCATCCGAATCATCCAAATAATTCCTAGTGAGTACCAAGAGCTTTTCATCATGAATAAAATAACGACTAAACCACCAACAAAATTGAGTCCAAGGACATAATGATTCTTTTCTTTAAGCATTAATGATACATATCCAGAAATTTTTTTTCATACATGCATATACGAGTCAACAATGTGATTACTTTTTTCTACTGATTCTTATTGTACGTAGAGCCTGAAGGACAATCTTCACATGACACGGCTCCTATTTACTAGAGGAAACTAGAGTATGCCGTACTAAGATGAGTTTTACACTAAATAAACAGTCCACCTTGGGGAACGGAGAATGATCTTATGGATAAGAGGTTTCAGTTCTCATGCAGGGGCAGAGCCTATCATCATTTTGGAACAATTAAGCGACGACGGGGAATGATGCACAAGTCGCCACACCTGCAATCAAAATCATCACAATTACGGAATGAACCTGGGGCAAAGGTCAACCTATACTAAACAAGACGATCAACAGTGAGAGTAAATGCCGGTTGCTTTTATCTGTGAACATGTCCAAGAAAATGGAGACCCTCATACTTGATGGGACAGACACTTACCACACATGTTCTTCCCCATCTCCATCTTGAAGTACCCGTCAACACCCCATTCAGCTCCCCATGAGTTTTTGATAAGCCAATATGGAATACCATTTTCAACTCCATAACCAACAGCAAGGACAGCATGGTTTACATCCTGCCATCATCACGAGCATATATAAGAAACTATTTTTGAAAGAGGAATCCATCACTACCTTGAACCTGCTTGTGAAAACCCAAATTAATAACATCAACTATGTTCATTTTTTTAGGCACAAGCTATTGGTGATAAATCTTGTGATGGTACTGATGGGCTTAGTCTTGTACTCATGCTTGAAATGTAGAGACTTGACAAAAGCAAATGACTCAAAGATGCAGCTGATTTTTGCTTCCTCCCTCCCTCTTCATCTCTGCAAGTGTGTATGCACATAAACAAGTGTTTTTGCCTCTTCATTGTAGCCAATTTGGAGCTTATTTCACACTCTTTTATCTCTTGGATTCTACTGATTTATATTGATGTAGTTTATAGTCACAGATAGTATGGCCCTATGTGTATAAGCGTCCCAAGTTTCATGCCCTCACATCCTCCACACTTTCGTCACATACCTGCTGGTCCACCAAGCGAGTGCTCGAGAATATTTCTGTTATAGAGAGCTCTAACTCCTAGATTGGCTTTTTGTCAAGCATGCAATTTTAGATTTCATATAATTAAAATGCTTGACTTCACAATCCAATCTCCAAAAATGGCAATTTTGCTCTTTGCATAACAATTTCTGAATATGGACAATATTCTTGAGGTAAAGCACCCGCTTACCATTGGAGCACTGCCACATGTATTGCTAGTGTAAACTCCTCCTTTGTAAAATCGGAAACCGTTTACAACCTCAAAAGCCACACTTACTGGTCGAACAGTTCCCACTGCATATTTTAGTTCATCTTCGGCACCCTGCAATTCTTCAAAAATCAAAAACCAATACAGCATATGATCGTTTAAATATATCTTATATTCAAATCAAAGTTGGATGTGTCAAGTTAGAAAACGATGCAGTTTTTACAGCATAATCCAGAGCAGGTATCATAAGCAACTGATAAATGATTCTAACATGGTAACCGCTAATCAAACATGGATGAGGAAGGAAATCAGTCACATGGAAATTAGACCATCATGAGAGTGGTAAAAGCTGGGATGTCTGTTGGAACGGAAGTAGTTAATCTTGTTACTTGAATTATCTGTTTTTATCTATATTCAAACAAATCTCTATCAATAGAATAAGAAATACAATTGTACAAGTACTTGAGTAATTTACCAGGGTGATGTTGACAGAGTCAAGGACATGCACACCAACATTTTGGGACGAGTATTTGCATAAACCATCCACACCAGTGTATGGATATGCTTCCTCTGTATCTAGTCCACCATTGTACTTAATATACTCAAATGCTTGTGATGGCAGGCCACCATTGCAGCCAAAATTGTTAAAAGCGCCTGCACAGTCCACAAGCTGCTGCTCTGACAGTGAAATTCCCTTCCCAAAAGCCTGTGCATAAGCTGCCTCCAAGGCTCCGGTGGTGCTGTAAAAGATGAATTCTCATTTCACAGCTTACAAGAACATTATATTTCTTATTTGTATTAGGAACTAGATCAACTATTCAAGAAGCATTTAATTTCAGTAGCCATGATATAAACTCCAGCACACCTGAATGTCCAACAAGATCCGCAGTCACCTTGATCCTTAACAGGGCTCACTATACCAGTCGTTCTCCAGTCTTTCTGTAGCATGTTAGTGAGGTCCAAATGGTATTAGAGAGACTACTCTTAAAATAATAAACTCCACTCTTAGTACCTAAGATTCTTATTACCACCATATTGGTAAAAGCTGAATCCAAACTCGCGTTTTCATTTTTCCATAGCAAAACCACAGCAAAAGAATTATCTCACCCATCAAAAGAATGGACTCTTTTAAAAACCAATTTGATGCTCAAAATAATCAAGAAGCAACTTTAGTGAACAAGATACCTGCAAATTCTACTTAAACTGTTCCCTGAACTGTGGTGGCAGAAATTTTATACTTAAGGGTTAAACGAAATTTAAGTTTTGAAACAAATTGAAACTATAAAGCATTACCGTTTCAGGGACGACAACATTTGCGAGCTTAAGATTGCCCTTGGTAGTTGCAGAACAGTTTTGAGCAGCACCGAGTCTGTGTTTGTGGAATTCCTCCCATGTCATATCAGCAAACTCTGCCATAAACACAACCAAGTATCAGGTAATTGGGGGAAATTCTCTCAGAAAGCCAATGTAGATATTAGGCATACGTTATCTTTTGGCACCCCATTTCCTCCTCTCTTCATCTCATTCTCACTCTTTTCTCAAACTCAAATAGTGGAATTAAGTCTTTTACCACGGAGTGTCACCTCTCTTAATTAAGCAAAATATGT